CATCTCCGTTTATTTTCTGTGTGTCCTTCCTCGAGAACAATGGGCCACTCTCTTGTTTTAGGTATAAGCACAGAGACTCAGAAAGTGGCATGTATACCTTCTAGAAGGAAGAAACTTCAAGACAGAAAGTCCCGGCTGTACAAACAGGGGCTGCCTCTGGTAGGGCAGACAGTACTCACTTCCATTTCCAGTTATTCTGGGATGACTGGCAAGCACCTCCCCAGGATTGTAGCCCTGCAAATTTCAGAGCCCTGTGAGGTGTGAATTCTCACACTTGTTGAGTAAAACAGCTAAGGACGTGGGATGTTGGGGTTTCATCCCAGGCCAAAGACTCCACAGCCAGAATTTTTAACCTCTTTACTGCCCTGGTGCAATATGAGAGAAAAAATACAGGTGAGAGAAAAAAATGGACCTGTTGGGTGCCCTTTACAAGATAAAACTTCTCAAGCAAAGTGTGTTTAAAAGAGTCCAGAAAATTCATTGCTGATCTGCCATCATACATTTATTAAGCACAGGCTCTGCTAGGCTTCATTTTAGATGTTTGGCATGAATGACTTCATATAAATTCTCACAAGAGCCTTATGAGGCAGGCACTATTATCCCCATTTACCAAAGTTTGGTAACTTATCCAAGGTCACACAGCTAATAAGTAGTCATGCCGGGATTCAGATTCAGCCTGACTCAAAAGCTTTTTTTCTGAAATTTGATTTCTGTATCTTCAGTGTTCACCTAATATAAACTATGATATGATATTGTTTGGAGTGTTGTGAGATATGGAAAAATATATATATATATAGAGAGAGAGAGAGAAACAAGTTTGGGACATATCTAGATAGCTTCCAAATTTCTTGAATCAAAATGTGCAGAATTAGGGGCTGGGATTGTGGCTCAGCAATAGAGCGCTCACCTTGCACATGCAAGATCCTGAGTTCGATCCTCAGCTCCACATTTTTAAAAAAATAAGTGAAATAAAGGTATTGTGTCCAATTACAACTAAAAAATAAATATTTAAAAAATGTGCAAAATTAAACATCTATCTACATATAATATATATATATATGTTTGTGTGTGTGTGTGAATATATATCCTTAAATTTCTATATATCTTTCAAATTGTCAAATTAAAATATATTTTATTGAAACCTGCATAAATATCACTTTATGAAGTTTTGTAATTATTATTATAAGACAAAAAGCCATAAGGTGGCCCAAAGAACCAGGGAAGGACTAACACTTACACAGCTCCCCATGAACTGGCTCTTGAAATGTTATTCCATGTTAAGCCTCAACCCTTGAAAAGTGGACTCTAAACCCCTTTTACTGACGAGGAAATGGTGGCCTTCAGGTTAATGACCCAGGTTTCCATGGTCGCTAAGGGACAGAACCACATTCAAAGCACAATTCCTAGAGGCTCCCAGCCCAGACTTTCATAACCATTGTTATTGGCATCTAATTTCTTACGCCGTCACTGTTTCCTGGGTGTCTGTGCAAATGATGTTAAAAATCAAACAGAACACAACAAGGCCTGTAGCTCTGCCTCCACAGGCTTGAAGATGGAAGGCAAGAGGAGTCTCCCCGGCTCAGGAAGCACTTGACCAGGTGCTAGTCTCCAGGGCGCCCATTCTGGACCTGACTCAAATTCCCACTCCATGTAGAAGTTCTGCTCAGTGGCTTCAGGTTTAAATTAAATCTCCTGCTTGGCAAGCTGGCCTGAGGCCCCAGAGCCAGCTGCCTGCCCTTCCAACAATGGACAATGGGATGGAATGCAGCCTAGACATCCAGAGAAGTGCTTTTCCAGCTCCTCTGAAGGAGCCACAGCACACCCTGGCCAGGACACTGGCATCCCTCATGAATGCGACCATTGTTGAGGCAGCCGCAGATGCTCAGAGGGGAAGATTCCAGGCAGCTCTTTCTCTGTGTCGCTCATTTTTAAATCATCACATCACATGGTTCCTTGGCTCCAACACCACGTATCCTGCTGTTACAAGGAACAAGACTGTGTTCTCTTCTCCAGTGGATTAGGAAGGATGACCAACATGACAAACAGTGGTTCCTACAAGGAGCCAGGGGCCAGTGACCTCAGTCTGCCCTGCTGCTGGCAGTACCTCTGACATAGACTGCTACCTGCCATTATCGCCAAGCAAAAAAGATCTAAGTCTCAGCAGCAGGTCCATTCCTAGCACATGAATCAGCACCTGTCCACTGCACCCCCCAAGCCAAAGGTCACGGACTAACCTTTAACCTTGGATTAGCAAACTGGACAAGTTCAAAGGGTCCTTTTCCCATCTCTCAGCTCCTACAGTTTTGTGATATTTGGATCATGGGACAATCTTACTAAAACAGGAAGGGGATGAGGGCCAGGAATGTCATTTTATATCTGCCAGAATCAGAAAGTCCTGGTTTGGCCTTGGCTCCAACCCAGCCATTGCTTGGCCAGGGGATCTCAGACAAGCCTACGCTTGGCTGCTACAAACCCACACAGCTTCTTTGTACAAAGAGGAAAAGGTGCCCCTGAGTGGGGAAGCAGCCCTGCCAGCTCTGGTTGGCAGGTGTGACCCCAGCCCTCGGTGCCCTCAGGTAGGGCATAACCTGCACTGCCAGTTGCAGAGCCTGTGTGTTTCCATTTATCAGTGAAGTGGGACTGATAGCCAGTGTCCCACCGCATTCCCTGCCCTGAGGAGACTAGCAGGACCCCCAGAACAGTTAGTGAGTTAGTCTGTTAGTAGGTTTCTGGTTCCGTTCTGCCTTCCTTCTGAAGCCCTCCAAGATACTTCCAATGAGAAGCAAAGACCCCCACACACTCAGTTCTGAGATTGCAACTTCCACTTTCTCTAGAATTTGATGGAAAAGCCGGGTGGGCCTCTTAGGTGCACAGCCTGTACAGTCTCCGAGAGCCCTGTGCTCAGAAGGGCTTTGTGTTGGGTTTAATGCTGTGGCATCACTGTGTTAAAATTCCTTACTTTCTGAGCAAGGGACCCTGCACTTTCACTCTGCACTGAGCTCTGCAAAATTATGTAGCTGGTCCTGCCAGCAAGCCTTCAGAGACACCACATAGCTTTCCACACCCCACAAAAGTTTTGGATAAGGAAAATGGGACATGTCACCCCTCTGCCTAAGCACAAAGACCTTTGACATAACTGGAATGTGAGAGGGCAGTGGCCAGGTAGAGCGTGTGCTTCAGCTGGTCAACTGAGCTGGATAAAATTCTGCCTCCTGCAAGGCTTCAGACAATACCCTCACCCATCTGAGCCCAGGTCTCCTTACCTCGAAGGTGGCCCACTCATGCTTACTCTTCCCTGTGAGTGATGAAAAAAGTCTAGAAACGACCTGGCACAGGGCAGGTGTTCAAAAAAATTGTCAGATCCCCTCCCAGCTTGTTTCAGGAATAGATACCTCAAGATGGACCAGGCCCTTGTGTTTCAAAAGGCAGTGAGATGATCGGTGGCCCTGCAGACCCTTTGGCTCAGGAGCCCATGATTCTCCGTTAACCAAGACCTCCTCCAGACCATGTCTATTAGGACACTTGGGTTGCCAGGGCAGAAATCCAACTCATATTAACTTAGCCAAAGGGGAAGTTTGTTAGTTAATGAGGCTGGGGAAGTACAGGAAACAGGCACTGCTGCATCTAAGCATGTCATTCCCTTTCTGTTTCTCCTTCTCTCTCCCTCCCGCCCTCTCCACCTCTTTATGTTGTGGACAAGATGGTTGCCAACAGCCCTAGATGCACAGTCTCTCGAGCCCAGTGGGGAGACACATATCTCTCTCATTATACTAGCCAACGGAGAGACTCATGGATACGGTGTGGATCATAAATCCACTCCTAAACCAATCACAACTGCCAGAGTGACAGGGTAGGTGCCCACAACAGTGACGGAGACTGGACCACGGGGTTCCAGTCTCATGACTCTGTGAGATCACATAAATGGGGGAAGGGGCATTTCCCAAAGGAAAGCTGAGGTCAGGCAGATAAATGCAACATACGCTCTATGTGGTTTACCATCACTCCCTCTAGGAGACAAAGGACATGACAGGAGGGGGAGACCAGCAGGGGAGGTTCGGGAACTAGCACTTAAACCAGCCTTTGCTGAAGGACGGGAAATATAGGCACACGTGCTGCCTCACAGAGGAAAGGGAGGCAAGGAACTGAGAAAACTCTGGGTGTGCTCAAGGTCACTAGCTGCATAACTGCGATTAGCCTCACATCTTTAAATTTTTTAATAGCAATACGTATATTTTTATAGTTATCTTCTACTTAAGCAAGCAACACTGGTTTTCCAGCTTAGTGCTAATAAAAGTCTCTTTTTAAAAATTAACTTTAAGTTAAAACAAAGTAGGTCTGTTGAAAGAAAAATAATAAATAATAATGATATCGACATAGTAACTGTGGATACATTAGTACATGTATTAAACCAAAGGCTGAAGTATGGGACACGGCTCGGCATATAAACAGGACTTTTTTCTCCCCAAAGAGCACTAAAACCCCAAAACTATGTTCTTATTTGTTCTCATAATATACCACTGACAAATGTATGTACCTCATTGGGTGGATGGCAGGGATCCAAATGAATCTGTGGTAAGATCCTAGAATTCATAGCTTCTGGCAGGCAAAACCTATTCCCTAGATAGACTTGTGTCTCGTGACAAAGCAGAGAACCAGCACTCCAGGACATTGGCCCACTGTATTAGTCCCTGTTTCAGAGACAGACACACAAAGAAGGGGTTGACATGAAAATTGCTTTTCACAAAATTGGCCAAGACTATTGTCCTTGAGAACAGAAGGGTCTATTCTTCAATGGTCACCAAAGCCAGCTGGCCCCGCAGAGTACCAGCTCTCTCTCCAGGGCCAGAGCCCCCCCTCTGATTTCCACACCACCCACGTGAAACGTGGCAGCTGGTCTCTTGCTCAGATGACGGCTTGGTCCTCCAGTTAGCTACTCTTTTCAGGCAGAGAAAATTTAAATGACTCTATTATCCACTCACCTTTCGAATTATTTTCTCCAGGCCAAAGAGAGAAGTCTTCAGGGTTTCGATGTGGATCGAGATGCCAAAACGCTGTACAAAGCCTGCAAAGGAATGGGTATGAAGATACAAATTTTTGTTTGCTAATTTGTTTCAGAAGTTGATTAAACTCAATCTCATAATCAACTTTCCCACGATGGTGAGAAAATGACCTACTTATCTTATGTGTTCCAAGTTAATTCAAGTTGATCACTTTTAATGATCTCTTTACTCAAATTCCCAAAGATATAATCAGACCCTATAACTTTTCAGGATTCTATATAATGGGCAGAAGATGGATACTGGGACAGTTACTTTGAGCTTGAGGTGAGAGAAGGTCCATAAGAAGTGTAGTTCTTGCGGTCCTAATGTCATCTGAACCCCCCTGACTCCTTTCGTGGAGGTGGTGGGGAAATCAGGTCTAACGAGAGCTGGATTAGGGATGTGGGAAGCGCACAGAGAAGTGGATTGAGTGAGTACAAAGCTGTAGCCACAGTTGAGAATCCCCAGGGTCAAAATTGGAGAAGCTGTTTACACGGTGCAAGAGTGAGGTAAATCCAGGACCAGGGTGAGGTGAAGGAGCGAGCCCCCAGGTCCAAAGCTACAGAGCAAAGCTTAGGGTCCAAGGAGGCCACTGGTGTATCAAGGTTTGGGTCCAGAATTCTGGAAGAAGAGAAATCCAGAGCACAGATGGAAGGATTTGCCCTGAACCAGAAGGAGGAGGGGAGGAGCTGAGATTGACAGCTGGAGGAGATACATTCCACAGTGTGGTCAGGGCAAAAATCAAAGGTGCTCATGCAGGAAACGGGACACTGCTCAGGCAAGATCATCTACCAAAGAGATGGGTTTGACAATGGAGTGTGGGCCTTGAGTCACGGTTTGGAACACCCCTTGAGTAGCAAAGAGGTGGAGATGACCAGGAAGACTGCTGCTCAGGGCCCCATTGAGTAGGGAAACCATGTCTTCTCATGGCTCCAGCCCACACAGCTGTGGGATCTTCTCCTGCAGCCTGAGAGAAGAGGACAGGAGAAATGGATAGGAGAGAAGGGTCAAGGGATGGGGTTAATTAAATTTCCTAGATCATTTTTTTTTTACACTTAATGGGAAATTTAAAATTTTTTAGACAGTTTATACACAAAATCTCATTAAGTTATCCTCATAAAAAATCCATTTTTCAGAGGAGGAATGAAGGCCCTGACTAGTTACATAACAAACCCCAAGTCACCAAGCCAGTTAGTGGTGAACAGTGGGGTCGGTGCCATTCCTATCATTCACTCCAGATGTCACCAACTCAGAGACATTATAGTTAGTCCATCTCAGCCACACCACTGTGCTACCAGCAGATAAGGACAGCCTGTGAAGTCCTTGCTCGGGGCTGTTAACAACTGACAGGAGCCATTTGAGTCCACAGGTATTTTTTTTTATTTTTCTTAATGCAATATAATTCACATGCCCTAAAATTCACCCTCTTGCAACATATAATTCAGTGGGTTTTAGTATATTTAGAGTTGTGCAACCATCACCACTAATTCCAGAACATTTCCATCACCCCAAAAAGAAAAGTCAAGCCCATTAGCATCCCTCCCTTCAGCCCCAGGCACTCACGGATACCCCACCTGTCTCTAAAGATTTGCCAGCTCTGCAACTTCATACAAACTGAATCATACAATACGTGGCCTTTGGTCTGGTTTCTTTTACTTGGCATAATACTTTTGCAAAAACAAGTGGTAGATTTATACTTAGAAGGAAATGAATGGAGATTTGCTTGCCTAGGAATGGCTGTCGTGGTAAAATAAATATGGCCACAAATTTTTGTGTGTGTCTGCAGAGAGAAAAATATCAGGATCCGTGATGGAAGTTCTAAGTGGATATATTTTGCTTCAGTATGAGAAATAGTCTGCCTTGCCCAAGAAATTCTGAGAAGTCCTGAGGAGCTGGGGGTTGGGGAAGATCTGGTAGGAAAGTGGTAGAGGGATTTCTACATAGTATATATTCTTGAATAAATCAGAAAGAGATGGGAAAGAGAAGAGAAGGGAGGAGAGAGAGAGAGGCAAAGGAAGAAGAGAAAGAGGGAGGAGGAGAGAGAGGAAGGGGAGGGATGGACAGAGGAAGGGAGAGAAGGTGCACATTCTCAGCCCACAAGCAAAGTTCCTGTTAGGAGGACAGCTGTGGAAAGCAGATTTTGCATGGAAGCCACAGGATGTTTATGACCTTGAGTTTTGCTGAGCAGTGGGATTCTCAGGTGCTTTCCAGACAGGGGAAGCCTCCTGCTGCCCTGGGTGAGGTCCTGACACCTGGCCTGGGGATGGAGACTAACTGGGTGTGAGAATGGCCCAGTCCCCACTCTCTTACTTGCGATGAAAGTGCAGCTCAGTACACAGAGTGAGCACCTATTGAATGCAAAGTTTCACAGTGTTCTCTTCCCTATTTGGGATGTAGCCAACAAGGTGGGACCAATGTGGAACTGGTTACTGTGTGGAGCACCATTTCCATGCCCAGTCCTGAGCTGGATGTCACTTACCCGTCACCATGTTCAGAACCCCCATAATCTGTACAACTGGTGTTATTGGAACCACTTCACAGATGAGGACGCAGGGCTTAGAGGTTATGTATCTTGCCCAAGATCATCAAGTTATAAAAACCAGAGTTGCCTCAGAGGGCTCTGATTTGGTTGAGTGTTAGACACCCTCTTTGATAAGTACAAGTGGAAGCAACATTATATTGTTGGTCATGTCTGTCTGCAAGACCGTGTGGCCCTCTCATGGATAGACCAGCCCTTCCAGAGTGGAATTTAAATGAATAGTAGTGTCATTTAAAATTTTTGAGAAGCAAATTTTAGAAGAAAAACTGCAGATAAAATGCATTATTTTATGTTATTTTAACCTCATTTTATATCAAAAACATCAACTTCCTTAGGTGAATCAACCTAAAAAGTGTTAACAAGGTATTCTACATGCTGCTTTTTAAAAAAAAATATTAATTCTCCGGAATCCAGCATGCACTTTATGCTTACAGAAGGTTTAGACTCAGACAAGCCACATTCCCAGGGCTCAATAGCCACAGGTGGCCAGTGGCTATGCTACTGGACAGAGGTCCCAGGTACCACCAAGATTACATGCACTCCTCACCCCTTACCCACCTATGTGAGTCAAAATAATAAATGCCATAAAATTAGATTTTATTTCTCCAATTGACACAGAATTTACAGATTTCATTTTTTGGCATCTCTGCTCCCCTGGAGTTTTGTGCATGTGGTCAAGGTCAGAGGTAACCCCCAAGCAATCCCCACCTTCACAGAGCCACCATTACCTCTGTCCCAGGGCTCTGGTCCTCTGCTGCCCCTGCCCCAGCCCCTAGGGACTGCACTTCTCACCAGATTCTTCCAAGTCCTGCTCTTGTTGGGTCAGCCCAGGAGGGCTCTCCTGACGATGAAGCCTTCATCCTGAGCACGTGTGAACCGACAGGCTCCCAGAGGTCACCACGGCCAGAGGTGATCAGGACACAGCTTCTCGAGTTCTCAGGGGCATTCGAGTCATCTGGGGTCTTGGTGGAGTGTGGGAGGGGGCAGAGCTCCCATTTTCATTTTCAGGAGGCTTCCAGGTGTTGCCCTGGCTCTGGGGTCAAGGCCAGGTCCTCCTGAGACACCCAGGAGTCAAGCAACGCGGCTCAGCCACACAGGAGCAGAACCAGGCCTAGAACCGAGTCACTCTCTGCCCAGCACTTTCCACACGCCAGGTGTGAACTTTAGCTCCCACTCTGTCATTTACTGATGCCGTGTGACCTTAGCTTTATCATCCAAGAAATGTCATGGCAAATGCCTCCTCGGGTGGAGGTGGCGAGGAGATAGGTAACAGCACAGTGCGCCGCCACCCGCCGACCCTCATGGTGCGTGCTAGTTGCCTCCTTCTGAATCACATGCTCAGATCCATCAGACCAGTCTGAGCACCAGGAGGCCCACCCTGTCCTCCATCTGGAGGGAGCACTCGGTTGATTGGGGTTCTGGAAGATGTATCCACCCTGGATCGGTGAAGGTGTCCGTATTTGGAAAAGGGGGCCTTGGCAGATGTAATTAAGGATCCTAAGAAGAGATCATGCCCAATGACCTGGGTGGATCCTAAATCCCAAGACAAGTGTCCTTATGAAAGACAGAAGATGTGCAGGGAAGGTCATGTGAAGATGGAGGCAGATGGAGTGACGTGACCACAAACCAGAGAACACCAAGGACTGCCAGCTACCAGAAGAGGCCAGGGACAGATTCTGCCTCCGTTCCTCCAAAGGGACTGTGCACCACTGACGCTGTTTAGACTTCCAGCCTCCAGAATGGGAGTACATAGGGGTTTTCTGTTTGCTCATGTGGCGATCTTTTTGTTGGTTTGGTTTGGTTTGGGTTTTGTACTGGGATTGCAGCCAGGGCCACTCTACCTCTGAGCTACAAGTCCAGTCCTTTTCATTTTCAGACTGGGTCTTGATAAATTCCCGAGGCTGGCCTTGTACTTGCAATCCTCCTGCCTCAGCCTCCCAAGTCTCTTGAATTACAGGCATGCATGCACCACTGTACCTGGAACTAGATTGTTTGAAGTCACCAAATTTGTGGTGAATGATGTAACCACCTGGGGAAACTAAATACAGAGGACAAGTGAAAGGCCATGACTTGCTTAAGCAGGCAGGATTCTGCCCCATTTGTTGCTTTATCTGTCTTCCCTGCACCCCCACTTCCAGGAAGAAATCTGGAAGCCCAGTGGTTGAGGAGAGAGACTAGCTCTTGGGCACCAGAAATGGGGCTGCAGCCTCCTGGGCTCAGGAGGGCAGGCTGGGCTGGCATTTGGACAGTGGGAAAGCTGAGCTCTGCCACTGGCTCAGACTATTTATCTGGCACACAGTCCCCAGAGGCCTTCAAACCCCGTACCCTCCGCCCTTTCGAAACAAAAACCTCACTCTGTATCTTCCCAGAAAAATGCTGGGAAAGCAAACCACAGAGAACCTCGGGCGTTTCCTGAGGCTGATTATCACCCGGCTCTGACCTCCACTGTGTCATTACCCCTGCATGTCCAATGCTCAGTAGGACTGAGGGTCCTTATT